CTTTCTATTTTTATCGTAAAATGCCGCTTCTAAATGTTTATGATCACCATGTTAATCGAAGATTTCCGTAGCAGGATTTAACTTGTGTTAAATTAACAGGATTGTTGTCTGGTTGGGATTTACGTTAGAAATTAGTAGAATTCACCCGACATAACACACATTGGATCTGTTTTCAGTACTATTGAAAACTGCTTTACTGAACTTTCCATGGCGTCGGAAGTGAGACAGTAATGTTTTCTTTCAATTGTTTCTCCCGGAGAGTTTGAGAGGGGCGCAGTGGTTGGAGGCGTCATTGTGACGCACATGTGGAATCGATCCCCGCGTCCATGACACACCAGACCTTCCATCCCGCCGGGGTCGGTATATTGGTACCAGACTTGTCTGGAAGGATAGCAGCGCTGGCTCGATACATCGGTACACCACAGTCGTTGTAGGGGCCAGACATGCACTCAATCACCTACAAACGTTGCTTAATGAAATCGAATTCATGGCGCTTCCCTCAGAGATTGATCAACGTCGAGATCTTTAACTTTGTTTTTAAAGAGTTTGAAACTTCAGCTAGTTCGATGTGACAAGCACAATTCCAGTTACGATCGCTCCAACACTTTAGCATTTACCTGACATTTCCATCGTTAGCTCAACATTTTTCACAGCTGTTGGGTTTTGATAACGTTATCATTATTTTTAACTGCCTGGCTGTAATGGATTACTGCACTCGGTGACCTTTATCGTTATCAACTTTGCCAACAGAATCATTCCAAACAAACGAAGCTGTGCACGCCTTATCAGCGTTATCAGAGCGTACGTGACCGAAAAACTCATTGCTACGTGCTAGCCAGAGCCAGAATTGCATGTAACGGTGATGACTGGAAACAGAACTGTTTGAAGAATTGCATAGAATGAACGAAGATTCTTTGAAAATTCAGACTTGTTTGCGAAACTTCCTTCACTAAGAACATAGCTCATAATATAATCATCATCGTTGTGGTAAAGTGTCAAATCAACTTGAAGTAATCAATCGAGCTTTCGATTTGCTGTGCACCTCAGAAAATCTCCATACAAGTCCAAAAATCGTTAAAAATCCACAAATTTTAGTAAAATCAGAGATCTTCATGACACTCTCATGACTCCTTGTGGAAGCCAATTTCAAGCACACATTTTGGTATATCGTACTTTCCTGCTGAATTAGTTCTTGCTTATTCCACCGAAGCGTCCTCTGTTCGAGACACGAGCCATGGCAAGGAAGAGTTAATTATTAGGCTTTGTTTTAGTTGCGGTTTCGGTATTATACGTTTTAGCAACTGTTTTCATTGCCAATGCAGTACTGCCATATCTCATTGCGGAGATTATCCAATGCATTTTCGCCCCGCATAATTGAGTTTTAATACAAATTAAGTTTTTCACAAATTTCACAGATTAGGAATCTGAAACTCACGCTAGAAATTTGAACCAATGCTATTTTGGAATTTCACATTACACCCTCACGTGTGGACGCGTGCGGCGCAGTGGTTGGAGGCGCCATTACGACACGAACATGGAATCGATCCACCCTCCCATGTTCCACCAAGCCTTCCATCCCTCCGGGGTTGGCAAATTGGTACCAGACTTATCTGAAACTAGCGCGAGTCATTGTAAAGGCCAGGTATGCATTCAGTCACCTCCAACGATACTTAATGAAGTCGAATGCATGGCGCATCTCTCAAGGATTGACCAACGCCGAGAGCTTTATCCTTTTTTTAACTCTACTGTGAAAAAAACATTGGGCAGTAGATAAAAGTTGTACATTGTGATTTCGAATACAGCTTCAGCTTAACTGGGTTTAATGCCGATTTTTGTCACACCCGTTAATGGGTGGATGCAGGTGGCACTATCAGCGTAAAAAAACTGGCTAAGAGAGAAGCAGTGCAAGAGTCTCAGTGGTGCAGTGGGTACACATGAGCGCCCGGAAAGAGTAGTTCGATCTGGCCTATGGTGCAGGTTCAGCAAATATCTTAGCATCATGCTAGTTGTATTTCACATAGCACCTTTCCGTAAAAAATAATGGGCAGTAGATGAAACTCTTACACTGTGGTACCTAGTTTTAGATTTAGAGCGGTGACGTGCTGCAGTCAACAGGCTCGAAACATTTATTGAGCCTATGGCCAAGGAAGTGTTATGGAACGCACACTGGAACTTTAATGATGCTGAGATATTTGCAAAACTCCGAACCGCAGGTGTATGCGGAGGGGAGCGAACGCGCTGTTGTCCTTTCCAGGAAGTAACACGTTCACCACCACACCATGCGGGTCCTTCGTTTCGCCTGTCTCTCAGCTAGTTTTATTGAACTTTTGCCATCAGCAATCACCAATCAACGAGATTGATCTGGGGAGTCCAAATCGGCAACGAACCCAGTTAAGCTGAGGCTGCAGTTATAATCACAATTTAAAGTTATTATTGACTGCCTACTCTTTTCAAAATTTCCCAAAACAAGGTTGCACAGTGCAACCTTGTTTTGGGGAATTTTGTTGTAGCATATCCAACCACCAAGATAAGGAGATCGCAGACGCGCTTCTGCCAATGGCGGTGACTACTAGATGGTCTGATGAGAACAAATTCACGTACGTCTCCATGAAAGCCTTCAGAAGAGCACGTACAAGCACTTCAACTACTTTAGAGTACGTAAAGATGATTTTTAAAGAGTCTCGACAAGTGCATACTACATGCACTGAGTGACAACCAATGAAGTTATCGTTTTGAGGTACTATCGACGCTTTTTCTGCGCAATCAGAACGACCCATTTATCGACAGTATTGTGACATGCGACGAGAAATGAATTCTCTACGTCAAATGGGCACTATCAACAAAGTTGTTGGGCAGTTATGAACCTTCATAGCACACTCAAAGCCGAAATTGAACCGAAAAGTTGATACTGACCGTCGAGCGTTTTACAGCTGGTTTAATTTGTCACAGATGACTGAATCCTGGTGAAACAGTTACAGCAGAGAAACATTTGCAGCAATGAAATTAACCAGAAACTTCGAGGATTCGGCCTCGCATTGGTCAAAAGAAAGAGACCAATCCTTCTGCACGAATACGTGCGACCACGAGTCGTCCAGCTGACGATGAAACGTTTATCGAGATTGACTACGAATTTTCGCCGCGTCTACAATATTCAATGGACCTCTCGCCCACATATTACTACTTCTGGTATCGCCACAGCATTCTGTATGAGAAACGCTTCAGAAACCAATGCATAGTCGAAACAGTCTTCAATAATTTTGTGGAACCCGAATTTTGGAGGAACTGGAGTTGCTTTTGGCAGGCAAAAATATAAGAATTCCTATTTGTTCTGCCCCAATTAATAGAGTTTCTTCTAAGCCGAAATACTTCACTTCAAATGAACATGTTGAAGTCAGGGCTGATTTTAAAAAGACCTCATACAAAAAGATGATTTGTTACACCAAAAGCCATTTCATCATCGCCGGCCGAATAAATCTCTCTGGAAAAGTGTGTAGATTCTAAATGCTTCTGCTTTAAACCTCATTGTTTGCAGTCCGCTCGTGACATGCTTCATAATCGGTCGGGTAATTGCAGGATCAATGAGGACTTCTTTGCGCGTACCTAGGCGCTGATGTTATAGGAACCGAACGATCTCGTCATCAGAGCGAAGATTCTGGAGCCGTCGCTAGTTGATTTCGTTTCCACCTCTCAGTACAGCATTCATGTGTAACGTCGCAGAAAGCAGGCACTGCGCAAGCCTCTAAATGTAATATGCTGGTATAGCTGATGAATGATTTCTGTGCGTGAGTATAGACCACTCTCTTGCTCAGATCCCTGACATTATCGAATCGTCTTAAAATGGTCGAAGGCTTTCTTTAATTCGGTTGTAATAAAACAAAATGGTGGCTGACATTCTCTCGAAACGTCAGTGAATTTAGCTACTGCGTGGATATAAACGTAATAATTCTCCAATACACTATTCTGAGAATTCATTGGAACATTGCTGACTAACACTTATTCATCCTATATCCAATGTTTTGCAAACCCTATTGAGTAGTGTGGGCGCTGGTGGCGCAGTGGTCGGAGATGCCCTGCAACACACACGTGGAATCGATCTCTGCTCCCATGACCCACCAAGCTTTCCATCTTTTTAGGGTGGGTAAGTTGGTACCAGACTTGCTTAGGAGGATAGCAGCACTGGCTCGATACATCGATACACCACAGCGAGTCATTGTAAACGCTAGGTATGCATTCAATCACCTCCAAACGATCCTTAATGAAGTCGAACGCATGGAGCATCGCTCAGAAATTGATCAACGCCGAAAGCTTCATCCTTTACTATTTTTATTGAGTAGTGTGCTTGTGGACGACATGCATTAGACAGACTGGGCCGAAGGAAGTTCCCTATGTGATTGGTGACTGCCTCGGGTGTAAAAATACGACCTTGGTGATTTTCCACACATTAAACTCATCATTTTGACAGAAAACGTGTGAAATGGTATGTGTTGTCGAGGATGGCGTTAACTGGTTCAAAAGTTCGGCTCCAATTGTTTTTCCACCAGATACTGTGGGGCTGTCCATAAATGAGACACAATGTCGGACTCAAAGGTGAGGAACTCTTAGAAATAATCTGACGTGGCTCTGAAAGACATTTAATCAGAGCTCGCATATTATCTTATCAATTGTCATCCTTGAAGCAATACTGCCTCTTGTTTTGAAGTTCTCGTCTTCTTTAACACTCTCTTGCATAGGTGTTTAATGATACGATCATGCAACCCATCGATCTTCTGGACAATGGGATATTCCGAAAAGTTAGGCAGTGGCTGTGGGGCTGTGGCAGTGTTTCACTGGTGACTTGTGATCCCGTTGCAAGAATTTCGTGGGTTTCTCTACGTTCTTCGGAAAAATTGTAAGAATAAAAAGAAGGAAAGAAGATCGATCGTGCATAACATTAGTTCATAATTGAGATCCGATAGATTCTCTTTGTGGTGATGTGATTTACTTTGCCTCACCGTAGCACTCTACACAAAGACATCTTCAGTTTTCATTTTTGTGAAGATAGCATCGGCATGGACGAGTAATCCGGCAACGTTGTCACTATATATTTCACGAACTGATTTGGTCCATTTCTCGTAATCCCAAGTTTCCTGAGATTATAACAATATTGTAATAAAAAAGCATGAAGCTTTTGGCGGTGATCAATCGATGAGAGGTACATCATGCATCCAACTCTGACAACCATTCTTAACCCTTTTATGTACTGCCTTTTTCTTTTTAATGGCAGGGTATGTTGCGAAATATATAGCTCATATATATATACGAGTTATATTTGACAAGCACTGTTATTGGACGAATGTCTGGTTTATACAATGACATGCTGTGACCTACATCTGCTTCAAACCAGTGCTGCTATCCTCCAAGCGAGGTGTGGCAACAATTTGCCGACCTCTGAGGGATGGCAAGCACATTGAGCCTGTGGCGCGAGATTTTGGGTTTTGGGTACTAAAACTTATTGTGAGCGTAGATATGTCACTTTAAAAATAAAGGGATGAAATCATGCATTACTTTTTGAAATACCCGACGTTTCGAACTTCTCCACTGTGAGAATAAAGCTACTCATTTTCAGTATCTACTTTTATTAACAGTAGTGCAATGATAAAAAAAGAGATAAAGTTCTCGGCGCTGATCAATCGCTAAGGGATGCGCCATGCATTCGACTTCATTAATTATCGTTGGAGGTGATTGAATGCATATCTGGCCTTTACAATGACTCGCCGTGCGCTACCGATGTATCGAGCCACTACTACTATCCTCCCAGACAACTCTGGTACCAATATACCGACGCCGGAGGCATGGAAGGTTTGGTGGGCCATGGGCGCGTGGATCGATTTCACGGGTGTGTCACCGAGGCGTCTCCTACCACTTACCACACGCGCCATATTACAATGATACATAATTAAGATATTACCACATGACAAATGAATAGAAGAGAATTTTGAACAGCTCTGGTAGGCCGTCGTTCGACTAATGGCCCGTGATGAACGTGGAAGTTAGTTTGGAAGAACAGTCATATATGTGTAGAGTAAAAATAAGGGAAAGGTTCCCGGAGTTGATCCGCTGATTCAGATCTACGCTAGAAGAAACCACGTTTGCACCACTATATCAAAAAATCTGCTTCTTAGTCACTCTGCAGTCTATCTTGGTCGCCGCGGCGTTGCAATTTGCTTAGAGCTATTCTATGGCGCACGAAGTAACTTTAACAGAAAACCTGCATTATTCACATATTCGTATGCTGTTCTCTGTAATGAACAAGGCTAGGTCCATTTTTGCGGGCGTTGTTGTCCCAGTTATGTGCCCATTACAATAACTTTGATCACTTCTCCGATTCCTACACGTTTCATTATAGAAATCGTCCATGGGATTTCCAGCTCACCCAAAAATTCGGTTTGTTACATCACCGTTGATCGCTCGATCGGATCTTTACCATCCCAGAATGGTTTTAGCAATACAACATCCTAGCTATACCTAAATTACTTTCCACGAACACGGTTTCTTATTTCAAGATAATGCTTGTAGCTAAGATTTAAGATCCAAGATACGACTCCAAGATCTCTCTGATAATATCTCAGGATTTTAGTGAAAACTATGCTCAACAATCACTGATATCCCAGTGAAAACAGAAGACCACGGAGAAGCACCAAGATCACAAAACGTTGAGTGGAGTGAAGGTGAAAGTTCTCCAACATGAAGGTATGACACATAAGCAAACTTCACACTTTGAATCCATTAGAAGTATAAATTTTTAAAAATAACTTTATTCATTGCCGTACAAGATCAGACATTGTAAATGATTGCTGAAATCTGCTAGTTCTCGGCACTAAATGGTGAGAGCACAAACCTTAACAAAACATGGTTTTAATCCTATCATATTCAAAATTAAAACAAACACGTACGAAACTTACCAAATAAATTAAAATTAGACACGGTGTGATTACAATCAGGCTTTAGCACGATCGATCAATAAAACAAATAATAAAACAAACACTTGGCATTGAGGGTAAAGTTTCGCGTGGGTGTGTAGGTTTAAGGAAACACTAACAAATTGAATTCGTTAACGGGACTAAATTTCTAGATGTGAAAATGACTCATATAAGGGATTAACCATCGTATTGTTTAGGGTTGTTGAATTGGTATGGAGGGTTGCACTAGCATCAGATAAATCAGTACGATTTTCTCCACGCCCATCAACACCAGGTACGTTTTGTGAACGAGCCTGAAAACAAAGCTGAGGGGAACGTGAGAACATAGGCATGTCGTTAGTCATATAAAGGAGCTGTAAAGTAACCGCAACTTTTTTTTATAAGACCTTAATTAGGGTAGCGAGGGTAGCACGGTTTTTGATATGTCGGTCAACATGCGCAAGGCCCTGGTTCACTCTCATCGTGGCCCAATCGTGCTATTCGATCCAGATCGGGCGACTGGCATCAGGCATGCCACGAAAGAGCTTTAAACGATATACTAAGGCGATGTCGTAGCAACAGTGGAACTCCCTATAACCGCTATTTTAGTGTTCCAAAAAGAATCAATTCGATCAGTCTTCAACAACATTCATGATGAAAGCCAAGAATCCACAAGTAGCAGCCGAACATGCACCCGAAACTGGAGATGTTTGTGGACGAAATATGCGAGTGAACGCAGCGAACCGATGAAATTCTGAGACCCATTGTGCGATTCCAGGTTATTTAAATTACAACATTTTGATAACCAGCAAAGCTATGAACCGTAAAAAATCTACACTTTGGTTAGCTGACCTCACTTTTCGGCTGGCCTATCGAATGGAGTCTAGTAAATAAGGAGAGGACGGGCTTCGATAAGTAATGCATCTATTCTTCAACATCTCTTATCACTATGCTTCCTGCGCACCTAGACGTCCTCTACTTGATACTTGGTACTTTCACAGCCCGTCCTCACTGGCTGTGGGGGCCCTAGCATAATCTAGCATAATCTCCATTTTTCGGAGATTTGCTGGCTAAGCCATTGTGCTTCCCTGGAATTCTGAGGTCAGCCTAACCAACGTCTGCCTCGGGCCTTCACCGCCACAGGTAGTTGCAACCCTTGTGGTTCACAAGAAGATTTGCCACCATGCCACTTTGATACCAAAACGGTGTTGGATCCTCGTATTGGTTTACTCTTCGCAAGGTTTCCTGATGGAAACGCCGGACTCCCTCTCAACTTGGGAGACCATGCCAGGTGAATCTGCTAGAAATCATGCTAGACGAATCGCAGTTCTACACCCAGAAACACCGGCCACGATGAAACGGTAAACCGTTGGAAGGACGTCCTCTTCAGTGTCAAAGAATAGGGAAAGGAAAGCACATATAAGTGAAGGTTCGGCTGCACGCTAGCCCAAGTTGACAAATACGCCAATATGTCAAATTTTTCAGCGCAAACTGAAAGATCCTCCTAACATAGGTGTCTTGTGGTTTACTGAGCTTAGAGATTAGTACAATGCTGAGATATTTGTAAAACTCCGGACGGCAGGTGTCTGCGGTGGGGAACGAACGCGCTATTGTCCTTTCCGGGGAGTAACGCGTTCACCACCACACCATGTGGGTCCTTCGTTTCGCATGTCTCTCAGCTAATTCTATCGATCTTTTGCCATCAGCAATCACCCGTCAACGGGATTGATCTGGGGAGCACAAATCGGCATTGAACCCAGTTAAGCTGAGGCTATAGTTATAATCACAATCTTAACCTTCTTATTTACTGCCCATTCTTTTTAACGACATGGTATGTTGCAAAATATAACTATTATAATGCTGAGTTGACGTGTGATTGCTGATGGCAAAAGATCAATAGAACTAACTGAGAGACAGGCGAAACGGAGGACCTGCGTGGTGTGGTGGTGAACACGTCACTCCCAGGAAAGGACGATAACGCGTTCGTTCCCCACCGCAGACCCCTGCAGCTCGGAGTTTTACAAATATCTCAGCATTGTAGTAGTTATATTTCGCAACATACCCTGCCGTTGAAAAGAATAGGCAGTAAATAAAAGGTTAAGACCTAGAGATTATCTTTTAACAAACCACATTATCACAGCATCACAGGTGAACAAGCTGCCGATTCAATACAAACAGTGTGAGCAAATAAGCTATAGGTGGCAAAGAACGGTTAACACATGAAGTATAATCGTTGTTTACTGCTCACTCTGCGTAATAGCTGCGCAATAGTATTAGTGGATGAGAGCTGAGCAGACTGCGCCATATCACGCCTCTGGCAGTAGTTGGACCTATTTGTAGATGATTACCAGCTACACGGACCAATAAAAAATGTTTGGACAGAAAACGAGGAAAAGTTGTAATATCTATTGTCTAAACGAGTTTGTATAATACTTGACACTTGACACTTGAATGGCCCGTCCTCACTGGTTGTGCGGACCCCAACATAATCTACCCCTTTTCGGAGATCTGTTGGTTAAACCATTGTAGTTCCCTGGAATCTCGAGGTTAGCCTGGCCAAAGTCTGCCTCAGGTCTTCACCACCACAGGCAGTCGCAGCCCTTGTGGACCAGAGAGAGATTTGCCACCATGAGACTTTGATACCAGGACGGTGGCGGATACTGGTATTGGTTTACTCTTAGCTAGGCCTCCTGATGGAAACTCCAGTCTCTTTCTCAGCTTGGAAAACATTGCCAGGAGGATGAATCCCCCGTTGTACATCTTAGCCTGAAACTCAACAAGAACACCTCCCAGCCACGACGAGGCGCTAAACCGTTTTGAGGGTTTGCATAACAAATTTCGCTAAATTAACAAAACGTCCAATAACTCCTTATTTTTTAAGGCTCCTTGCAAATTCTTGGCCAATGCTAACTGCTTTCTTCGTGTTCTTGTTATGCGAGGTCAAAACCCTTGTTTGTTCTTATTTACTGCCAAAGTTTGAACACCAGTTCACCTTCGCCGCTTTGAGTAGATCGACAAATTCCGCATAGTTGAGGATGTCCTCACCGGGCTTGTCGTCATCTGTTTCGTCCGGTTCTACAAGAGCAAAATCGACCAACCGACCGACCACCCGCACACGAGGGTGCATCCCGACTACGCGAATCGCCTGAAATTCAGAGACAGTCTTAAGCAAAGCTACAGCCTATTTAAGCTTGAAGTGCCGTGACGACGTAGGCATACACGAAAAGAAAGTTGTTACCATTTTACAGTCATTATCAGTATTATCATTAAAACTGTCAGCAACAATAAAGTGCTACACAATGCTTCAAGCAATACTTCAATAATTACCTGTAGTCCCGCCGTTCGCGGAGTGGCCCGAGCGGAAGCTAGTAAATCTTCTATTTCCCTATCGCAAGTAAGAATAGAACAATGGGTTTTGCTCGCTCTAGAGACACCTTGAACATCATAACTTTCTTCTAGGCTTTTCGTGAAGAACTCTGACCGTCGGATCGGTGGTCTACCTGCCGTACGTTTGACATCCCTCATCCAGAAATGGAATCTTGCAGGACGGAAACGGTAGTCTGATTCAGCGTAGAATTTCGAGATAACAGCGACATCGGTTAGGAAAAACCTTTTATTTACTATGATGCAGTCTATTTCGTTATGGTACTCTCCATTGAGAGACTCCCACGTCCAGCGTTGAGGGTGGGGATTCTGGAATTGCGAGTTACCATGGATGGTCTTGGTCGTCATGATAAACTCAGAGAGCCGCTCACTCTGTTCGTTCCATTCTAATCCGTGGGTCCCAATGTGACGTTCTTCAGACGTTCTTCTTGGTCCAATCTTGGCGGTGAAATCTCCAGTGATAACCTTGAAGAATGTGTGGTCTTCTCTGTAAAACTCCAAGTCCATATAGAACACTTCGACTTCTTTTTCGTCATAGTTTGATGTCGGCGCGTAAACGACGAAGGTTGTCTAAAGCTGTACTAATCCACACCTCTTCAATCGTAAACTGCAGGTATGGGTTGTTAGTTGTTCGAATGAATCGATTTCCATGGTCAAACTCGTACTGACGAAAACGCCAGCGCGGAGAACAATTCTTCTCCGGTATCATAGACAGCGTTGAATGGGTGGCGTCGTCTCGTCTCCGCCAGGCTGATGACGTTATACCTTATCCTTCTTGCGTGCACGATCAAGTATTTCATCGAGGACTAGCAAGCAAGTGTACGTGCATTGTAAGCACAGATCGTCACCTTAGCTCTTTGTGATTTAGGCACCTTACAGTAGCCCTAAGATTTTATCAGCCTCTCCGCACTCATCCTACCCAACGTTGCCGAATCGGTGAATCTTTTTGGGTCACGAGAATAAGGCCCGTTTCTTTTACTGTGTTCAGCTTTTTAATCCCCACGTATAGCTCGCAGAGCTTTAAACGTGGGTCTGGGTATACCCATGTGTTGTTTTCCAGTTTCTCCTAAAGTGATGATGGAGCCTATTTTTTCGGAGGCGACTCCTAACTGCTTCCCATACTTCAAAAAAGGTGGAAGAAATTCGGAAGTTTTGTGAGTTATCGTTAACCAACTAGAGTTCACTTTTTTTACGACAGAAGCAAAAACTTGATGAAATAGTAAGTATTAAACAAAAAAACTTTCTGTAAAACTAGGGATATTAAAAAGCATTGGATAGTAAATAACAACGTGTAGACTACAGTACGGAGGTGTTGTTTTTTTAACTTCCTATGTGTATTGGAGGTTGGAGGTGCCACTGCGACACACGCGCAGAATCGAACCGGCGCCCATGGCCCACCAAATCTTCCATCCCTCCCTGGTCGACGAATTGGTATCACGCTTGTCTGAGGGGACAGTAGCACTGGCTCGATACATCGGGTAGGCCACCGCGAGTTATCATAAAGGCCAGATATGCGTTCAATCACCTCCAACAATACTTAATGAAGTCGAATGCCTGGCGCATCCCTCAGGGATTGATCAACGCCGAGAGCTTTATCCTTTTATGTTTTTTCTAGCGATAGTAGTTTACCAGATCATGCTTCGTGAAGTCAAAAAAATGATGTGACCAAAGCGATGGATTTAAAAGATTAGAACGAAACGGCACGAATAATAAAGTGGTGACCGACAGCCCATTTCGTGAAGATGCCTCTGCAGGGTGTATAAAGAATCCAATTGGACAGTTCCCTAATTATGTAGACAAAATCTTAGGCGTCTGTAGGTTTTAGCTCAAACTCAACGAAATCATCGACTTTAAAGAAAATGCGGCAAGTTGTTTGACATTGATCAATCCCTCAGAGCTAACCCCGGCATTCTAGTTTATCAAGCACCGTAAAGGTGAATGAATGCATACATTGTCTATATGAACAACTTCCACTTGATTACTAATGTGCCACGTCAGTGCTGCTATCCTCTAAGACAAATATGAGATCAATGTGCTGCCACAGAACAGATGAAAACCTTAGTAATTTTGGGCTCTGAGATAAAACCAAGAACAGGTAGGGCATTTTGAAGCAGCTCTAACCAAGGTGATATTCGTACCATTGATGTTATAGATCACTAAATAACACTCAAGCGTCACTATATTTAAAACAGAAGACATCAGTGAACGATAGGGAAAGTTAATGAAGCCGTGCTGAAGTCTGCACGGAAACGGGTTGCTCATGGGTCAAGTTAGCCACAGGCTATAACAAAACAGTTCAATAATAGGCTAAATTTGTGAACAGTACTTTATATACGCAGTATAAGAGATGGTTTGCTGATTGAATTGTAATTTTTAAAAACTCCAAGTGATCCACCTTTCTCCATCCAAAAATCTGGGATAACTTAATTGCGCATTTTTCTTCATTCGTTAGCAGAGCTTCTGGTGGCCACTAAATCAAGTAATCATAATTTCTGAAGCCACCAACAGGGAGAATCTTAGATAATTGTTCTCACATCAGAAGTCGTTGAGTATCCGATGTATTCTGCTGGATACGTTGAGCTAACCTGATCAAGAAGAGACTTTTCTGCAACAGTGCTGTGCTCTTCAGCCTGAAAAATTTAGCCAATTTATCAAATCAATTTCACTTTTACTTGTGACTTCTTAAAATGGCTAGATTTGACAGAAACCGAACCACATGTATTATTTATCTATTACCGACACTTTTTGTCTAGATTTTCGAGTGCTGAAACAGATTTGCTCCATGCTGGAGCATCTTGTGGTTCATTCTATTTCAAAATGGGGCAGAACGGGAAAAGAAAATGATCAGCTGGAATGAATAGTTAACAAATTTAAAATTTGACTACAAGTAAGTCCTTCGCATCAGCGGAGCTTTGCTTTTGACTGGTCGGAATTGAAGAAGACACCACTCAGCAAGTTTTGGTTTTTAACTGAGTTTGAACGCATAAAATACGCTCGGTTTCATTGAAACCACCATTGAAAGAGGCCTCAATTTGATCTGAAAGACTAATATGAAGTCTCGGAATTCGTAGAGCGGTTCGTAAAGTTAACGCCAAAAAACCCACTGAGAAGCTCCGCAAGTACGAGTCCCTGCGAAGAAAACACGACAGAGACCACTCTAAGTGCGGTTTCTCATTATTACGTACACCCTTACAGTGAAAAGTTAATTAAAGAGTGATTCAATTTTCTTAAATCGCCAAAAACACTGTCCTTTTAGAAGTAGCCCCAAGACTCTTGACGAAAACAGCGCATTATCGTTGATAGTGGAAGAGAATATATGAAAATCACTGCATTAAATTTGCTATCCGAATAAATAAATTCAGAAATAACGGTAGGAATTTTACAAAATTATATTAACGAATGGATACAGTGACTTGTTTTAAGACATGATTTCACACACGGTACTCGGTCATTGGGCGCATGTGGCGCAGTGGTTGGGGACGCCACTGCAACATACACGTGAAATCGATCTCGCGCCCATGGCTCACCAAGCCTTCCATACCTCCGGGGTCGGCAAATTGGTACCAGACTTGTCTGAGAGGAAAGCAGCATTAGCATGATACATCGATAGGCCACAGCCAGTCATTGTAAAGGCCAGATATGCATTCAAGCACCTCCAACGATGCTTAGTGAAGTCGAATGCATGGCGCATTCCTCAGGATTGGTCAACGCGGAGAGCTTTATCCCTTACTCGGTTGTTATTGCTCGTATTGAAGAAGCAGCTCTCGTTTAAAAGAGCTAATGAAAATCATCGTTTTATAGATTTTGTACCCTATTTTCTGCGGTATTCTGCTTTTTTCTTTCTGCCACCAATTTCGGAAATGAGCTCACATTCTTAAAATATTCGTTGTGATGGTGTGAAGAGGAGGTCGATCCTGTGGTTGATGTCTCGGAACTCCCATAAGATTCGCTCGCTTGAGGTATAAGTCGATAAATCGAGTTTGGGTTCCCGAGATAGTTTGGTAGCGCTGTATTATCCGCAGAGCGAGGTTCGTCCTAAGAAATTTCGTTTCGGATTAAATCACGTGCACGAGGCCTCTACAACTTAGAAAACACTCACGAAGAGAAAGTTTTCCGCTGATCTGAGATACTCTGGAAGAAAATCTTCTCGACTTTTTTTGTATTTTCTAGACATAAGTCCGGGCAAATGTGATCGATAGAGTTCTAGTGGTTGCCTTAAAATGTAGGATCAAAAATGTGGAAGCGCGAGAATAACTTGATGGTGTTTAAAAGAAGTCGCATAACAACTCAGAAAAGTAACAGCGATCGAGTGTTGGACGGCGCAAAATGCTCCACAATTTGCTAATCCCTGAACCAAAAGCTGACTCCCTCCATGGCCTTTATAAGTATTCCATAGAAATGAGCATACGGAATTGGTCATGTATTGAAGAGTAAACTTCATCAACTAGTCGACTCATTGCAACCATTTTTGACATTTGTACTACTATGCAAGGAAATGGGCGCGTATGGCGCAGTGGTTGGAGGCGTCACTGCGACAAGCATATGGAATTGATCCCTGTCTCCATGGCTCACCAAGCCTTCCATCCGTCCGGGGGTCGGCAAATTGGCACCAGACTTGTCTTGGAGGATAACAGCACTGGCTCGATACATCAGCAAACCACCGCAAGTCATTGTAAAGGTCAGATATGCATTCAATCAACACCAAACGGTGCTTAATGAAGTCGAATGAATGGCGCTCCTCTTAGGGATTGATCAACGCCGAGAGCTTTACCCTTTATTTTTTTAAGCAGGAGAATCTTTCGCAATGGTGATGATCGTTTGTAGACGGCAATTGTCGCTATTGAAATGAGACTGAAGCAGCTGTTGTAACATGAGAGGCATCATTTTGTAGTTATATTCTTGTATTCTTCCTAAATTCTTTAGACTTTGGCGAAACCGCAAAAACGTTGACTAGAGCATGTCTTTCGCTGTGGTTGATTACATCCCAGATAACCAAAAGTGGAGCGCGGGTTTCTCACTAATTCACCGACTGCTTATTTAGACATCAACCGACGCTTCCAAAAACTTCGATAATTGGTATTACGCAATCGCCATGGAAGGATAACAGATAAACTGTTTACCTTCGATTAGTCACTAAAGAATTAGCCATGCGTTCTCCCTTATTCGTTGCATAGTAAAGCTAACAGAAGGCAAATCTGGCCTAAACAATGGTGTGCGGTAGCCAAGTTTTGCATCAAGCTAGTACTATTCCTATTAGTATCCTCGTAGACAAGACTGTTACCAATCTTTCGAAGCGCAAGTGATAAATGGTTTGCTGAAAACGACGTCGCTGTCAGTTGAATTAAAGACCACATGTTTAACGCACTACATCTCTAACCGGAGTGCTACAGTGCAGAGCTCGACTACATTTCTACTTAATCCAAAGAAGGAGGTAAAACAACCTCATGAGTTACACAAATCACTAACCAGTAAATTCTCTTCTCCTCTATAGCATTTTAATTCGCTTTCCACTAAAAACTGGGAAACACTCACTCCATTTGAAACTTCCGACATAATTCTCTAGTACATCGTCGTCCGGCCATCGGAAATGTCTTACATGATCGACCACATTTACTAAATGTTCAAGTCTTAGTCTTTCTGCCAGTCTATCACGCCTTGGATCATCTATGAAAAGATTTCCAATAAAATTCGATTTGTAATGGTGCACAAGAGAATGTGAGTTCATGAGCGACTTCCCTTCAACAATCGTTCTGTCCAGATATTGCTGTCTCACTAAAAAGGGCCACTACATTAAAAAGGAAGCCGAAAGAGAGTATCGAGATAAGAGAAAGGATGTCTTTAGCAATCAGTAGAGACTTGATTAGTAAAGAGTCTGAGTTTAGGGATGGCGGTTATCTTCTGGAATATCGCGTTAGATGCATGAAAATCACTTTCTTTTTGTGCCTACAGTATAAATTCAGAAGGTATAAATGAAGAACTATACAAAAATAGTACAACGTGGGCTGCACTCGCGATTTTAAAAGAGAACAAGCGGATTGTACTGATTTCTTAATTTTGTCGACGGTTGTCTTATATAGAACTATCCATTTCATCTACTTCGAACTACGATAATACTTTTACAATGGTGAGAGCCAGTAGATGAAATGGCCACATTTGACAACCTCGCACATCGGTTACATTTAATATCACCGCCCTCGGTCCTATAGCCCTAATCATACACAGCTCAAGCACTTCCACAAAAGAAACCATTTCGTGAAGGCTACACGCTTTAGCCAAAAAATGTGAGATATATGGCTCGTAACAGATTCTCGCTGTGTGGTCGAATCCAAAGTCAGGCTCACAAGTGTAACTTCCGTGATTCCTGTTTGTCGTGTACAAAATAACAATGAAAAAAAAACTAGAGAAACTCACTCATGTCCAAATAGCTTGTTGAATCCTCTTGAACAGCTGTACTCTTTCGCATCAATAGGATTCGTTTCTGGCCGACATATATTCGTATGCGCATGCGTCGAGCATCTGGGCGGTGGTTCCTCTGCTGGTAGAGGAATAGATGGTTTAAAAGACATCACAGCGTGAAGAAGCGAACGCCATGCTACTAAACAAGAAGTCCGTAAACCGTAATTTGTGATGGTTGTGTGTTAAATATTCGAAAAAAAGGTGGACATGAAGGAGAGTTTCCACCAACACAAACCATGTTGTCATTAATCCATATTTCTCGAAGAAAACGATTCTTTTTATCAACAGTTTACATCTCTGGCTCTCAAACTCTGACAATGGAATGGAAACTGCGGATAAGAGACTGCATAAATAGACGGCTTTCATATGTTTCACAAGGAATACTCGACCCAACACCGCATTTTGCACGAATCTAAGCAATCCTTTCATGTGATTTGCGTCTTCGCACCCATGATCCACGATTTCAACTCTTCGGATTTCTAGATTCGATTGATGCTTGAGGATTTTAACTTTGTCATGAATGTTCTTGAATGCTTATCGAGTAGACTCTACTTGAAATCCCAAGATATCAGGACTAAAGCATTTCCTTGACACTGCAGAATCTGATCTTCCCTCGCACAAGTGCGGTACCAACCATCTGACTTCGAATGGAGGAAATGATTGATGAGCCCGATGCGGGATCGAGCCAGCACTCTGTTAATGATGATCTACGCCACCACCACTGCGTTACCCGCTATTTAAATTTGATTTGAACTTTATTACGAACTTCGGTCCAGAAATGAGCAAACGGGAACAAACGTTTTTACATAGCTTGCAGAAGAGACGTGGTAAAGACAGCAAAGAACATCCGATTCGTGCCCATTTTTTCCGACTCTATGATTCTTTTTACTTTAACCTATGCTGAGAAAATTGGAAGCTATGTAAGAGGGATGAAATATTGGTAAGCGCTCTCAAACCAACTGGTGCACAACTAAACCTTCCTCAATTCGTTGACAACACACCAAGTTGTCCCTTTTGAGCCGATAATGTAAATACTAACGAATCAATTTCTGCCCATTTCGCTGTCTCTGCACCCACTATCGATGACAGAAGCCTCCTGTTTCACGGAGGCTAGTTAGGAATCTCGGAATTTGAAATAACGTCGACGACTAAAGGTCAGAGAGGGCACTGCATACTCCAAAATATTGAATATCGAGTGGGCTTAATGAGTAAACGTTTTAAGGAAATCGGTGAACATGTAAAACAGCAGTTGGACTTGATAATGAACAGATGGACAAACAAACAAACAGGCAGGCAGACGCAAAAGTAGCAAGACAAACAAAAAGATAGCCAAGTATGTATTTCATTTTTCCATGGATTTTGAATTCAGTGTTGCTACCGAGTAATCCTGATGAATAAATTTTAATGTTGACTTGTTGCTGAGTCATTTATCTCTTTACTGGTCCTATAACATCCTCATAAAAGGAAACGAAAACACAAAAACCTTCAAAACCATTTGAATGGCTGAAAGACACACAAATGTTGTGAATAACGCTCTCAAGGATGGCGACTTCCAAAAAGAAGAAGCGTAGACGAAACTGAATTTGGTTTACACAATTTGTGAACGGCTTAGGCCAGAGTGACTAACCAAAGCGGTAGTGTAAGAGACTTCACAATTACTGTCTATCGAGAAAACACGTAGTGTGAAGAATTATTAGAATATTTAAGTTCCATACAAAACGGTTACTCACTATTTTCAAATCTGCACCATGTTATAATATGACCCGACCATTATTTTACATGACTTGTTCCGTTCTCCTCAAGCAGTCGTTGGACCATTCAAGGGATCGGTCATTCTCAGATAAATCGCTGTTACCCTCGAAGAATGCACTCACGAAACAGCCAACCACCTTTTAATTCACAATGACCAGCGACTGCTTGAGACTGTGGAAAAATGAGGACGCTCTAAAACGGCTATCTCGGCATCTCTGGAATAACCACTCTCGATCAGCTTAGTCATGTCAATAAGGTGAGAAGATGAAAGCTCTTCAGCCAGAGACGAGTCCGTACACAAGCCGAATCCTTTATATGGATAACAACAACATGACTATGAAATGGAAATGATGGAACCCAAATCTCATTTAAAGATAAGTCATCTGAATACCTATATAATTATTCTTTTCTGCTTTGCAGAATGCCATATAAAATCCAGAAACTGAAGCTCCAAAAAAGATTCGAGAGCCAACTTCTCATGTTCCGTCTTGTTGATGTTATATAAGCTACTATACAAATAATAATAATAAGTACTACAGAAATCAGTTCAACTTATCGTGATCTCAGGATATAAGCTAACGATGTCATGGTTCTTCAGGATTGATTGATCACCTAATGAGAGATCCACATTTTGTATGAGCACAACTGTTCAAACCTTGATCTGGTACAAGTGTACATAGTTTTGTAAGCCAGTAACGTTGATCGCGTAGTACCATCTGTTGTATAGAACATCGCGGCCAGTCAGGATCAGCCAACGGACATTCGAGTGTGGACTGCAATATTAGTCACATAACATCAGCAGTGAATACAGATTCTTTTTTCACACTGCTTTACTGCTCCATGTCCATTCGTCCACAGCTTCAGTATTTGATGGCCAAATCAATTTTTTCTATATATTCGCAATCACATGAACCAATTTCAATCTGTATATGGCGGTACATCTTGATCAATATGCACTAATCCCATTAAATCTTTACTGCTGTTGCCTCTCTTGACGCAACTTTCTTTGTGGTGCATTCTATACCATATCATCAGTCCTTTTAGTGTTATTTGTCAACACGGGAATTCTGAGGAAAGCTATTTTTACGCATTATAAACTACAAGAAAAAAAACAGTCAACAAGACAAATGTAGTTTATCGCAGCCTTTCACCTCTGGGTAGGACTTCGGGCCATGTGCATGGAGTGAAATGCATACCGCATGCGGCGAAAAATTTTAAAAACACAACGGAAATTACAAAGGTCTAATATAATTATTAATGTGCCTGAGTGAGTGATTTACCGAATTTCATTGTTCTTAAAAAAATAAGGCTGCTGTTTTCTCTATACAGGTTTAGGTAGAGGCTGTGTCACTCCAACTCGCTGCTTCGATTTGGATCCTCTACTAAAAAAAGGCTCAAGTGTCGCAGTCGTTGGATGCGTCCCGCAACGCACACTTGGAATCGATCCCCCTGTGGTGGAAACTTGTGGTCTACCAAGCCTTCCATTTCTCCTGAGTCAGCATATTGGTACCAGTCTTGTCTTGGAGGATAGCAGCACTGGCTCGATACATCGGTAGGCCACCGTGGGTCATTGTAAAGACCAGATATGCATTCATTGTCCTCCAAACGATGCTTAATAAAGTCCAATGGATAGCGTATCCTCCAGGAATTGATCAACGCCGAGAGCTTTATCCTTGAAAAACAGTGAAAATGTGACCAGTGGAGTTCCATGGAGAAAGTCAGAAATTGATTGTGCTATAATCGCATAAGCTCTACGTCATAGTAGAGATCTATTTATTCTAAAGAAATCTATTTGTATTTGTAGGTGTACAGATCAGCCGAAAAATATTAGCCTAGAACTGCCAGGCTTGCTCTTCTTTGGTCATGGATGAGTGGTATTTGATTAACATTGCCGCTAAGGGTAGCACAATTTGAGTTTTCACAAGTTTTTCGATAAATCTTTAGAAAAATATTTGATTTTTTCGTTAAAAAATTTCGCGAAACCAAAGGATTGATGTCCTCATACCTGGAGTGAAGGACCACAACGTCCCAGTGGACCATCGACTGGGAAAATTATATCATTGTGATTGAAAGATGGCATGAGGAGTCTAAAAGTCGCAGTTATCAAGCCTTCCGTCAGTTCATTACTGGATATGGCGAAGTGAGAATTTCAGTTCTTTAAGTTAGTCTAGTAGCTGAAAAGGAAGGTACGCCTCACTATCTCTTCGACGGCTCACAAAGTTCATGTGTTACTTTAATACTACGCAATTTATCCCTAGGTAGCACTTACACTTCGTTTCCGGTTTGAAGGAAAAAAAAACTCTATTCGAATGCTTTTCAAACCATTACTACAACTCGATCAAGCTGCAACTGCATTCTAGTAGTGATTCCCTAGCTTTCACCTTTAGAATCTGAGTAATCAACAGGACCTCTTTTCCACAGTCCCGCCCAATGTGGGTCTTTCTTCGATGATGTCGTGCATTTGTGAACGAGCGACAATGCAACCTCCTGTGTCTGCAGCGCGATTTGCAAGAATGCGATTAACCTCTGTATACTTTTCGCTACCGTACCCTTAAAGATCTCGAGTTGTTTAAGTGGCACAATTTTGTTTTCACTTAAAGAGAAAAATGTCGCCCAATGGATGAAATAAGCACGTGACGAAATTAGACAGTTCTTTCCTAACCACATAATGCAAAATTCATTCGGAATAATGTTTATTAGTTAACAAGCTTCTTTTTAGGATTTAGTACTTCCTCAAAGTAATACGATACTGAAATGCTGTCTATCTCATACCTGGAGTAAATTCAATTAGGTTCATTTTAAACAGTGCCATCAATTCTGGCCAATATGTAGATTTGTCCGGATAGATTTTGAAGCAGTACGGTAGCAATGCGACAGTCTGAAAAGAACAGGTGCACCCATCCTCATCTCAGAAAGGCCTCATCTTCGCAGATTGGTCGCGGCCATCTGGTTCAAGGCGAGTTCGATTCAATTTTACGAGATTTAGTATGCACTAGGAGGACTCGAACCAGTGGTTCACTAGTACTCAACGGCATCCCTACCACTGCGGCACGCACACTTTGAGTACATATGTGAAAAAAAATCGAAATCGTTGCTTTTACAATTGCTGGTTTCAAAGGAGTGAAAGCCGGTACAGCGAGTAGTCCACTTTATCTAGAAGACGTTTTCGGTCGCCCTATTAATTGAAAGAACGGACTTCCTAATTCGATTAATGAAATCTGAAACCAAAAGCGCATGCGTCTCGGGGCATGAAGGATACTATACTCATCTAATCAATAGAAAGCAATTTGGCAGGTTGTTGGGATAAAATTACCCATGAGGAATGTTCAATACCAATTAAACTGGCTGTCATTTTATTGTCAAAAAAGTACCAAACGAAGACAATAAATAGACTTAGTCAAACTTTTTGCTGAAGTTATAACAACCACCACACGAGATGTAGTGATTGCCTAGAAAAGCTTCGATGCTACTAGACTACTCGGCTACTACTCCTTCCCTCGTTTTCCTTCCATCCCCGTCAATCTCTCTCTTTCTCTCCATATTTGTCTTCCTCTCAATCCCTTTCTCTCTTACACCTGGAAAACACTAGCATGCTTTTCATCATGTAAAGCCAAACGACGAACGCAAACACGAAGCGATTACAACTTTCTTTGAAAACAACAATGTTTCTGAACTTTTCTGTATTGAGTTCAATACACCATATCTTCAAGAAAGAGTGGCAATATTTTTCTCTACGTATTGTACGCCAGTCACGATTTTAACTGATGACAAAAAAGACTTTAAGATTGAAGATATCTGGCACTACCTTTCCATAGAGCGCGTGTGGCGCAGTGATTAGAGGCACCATTGCGACTCACACGTGGAATCGATCCCCGCACCCGGCCCACATCAGTAGGCCACCGCGAGTCATTGTAAAGGCCAAATATGCGTTTAATCACCTCCAACAATACTTAATAAAGTTGAATGCATGCAGCATCCCTCAGAGATCGATCAAGGCCGAGAGTTCTATTCTTTATCCTTTTCAATAGTATTGCGAAAACTGTCATTTCAATAAATTAGTGACAAGTGTATTGCAAACCCAAGTTATCAAAGGTTTAGTTGTGCTTGTTAACAGTTTCAAGAAATAGGTTTGAGAAGTACTGGTTAGGAGGCACTACAGTATGAAATTAGTAGATTACCTGATGACCTTTTGAGATGAAATACCACAGAGCTATGGTAACCCCACGGACGTTTAGACGCTTATCTTTGTCACATTGTGTGTATCTGTAACCGATGAATATAATTTTTGGAGCTTTTCTCAAACGTTAAAGCTTCCATGTTCAAGTTTTTCATGGGGTCACGTGAAGAAAATCAATTTTAGCAGCGACCAAGCTCTTTGAGGCGGCGTTGAGTGGCCAAATGCTTACACTCTTCTGTGAATCTACAAATTAATAACTATTTCCTTCTTCAGCACGTTGGGATCTTTAACAGAACGATTTATTCAGTAATGGACGACCTTTCGGCGACTTCACGTTCTCGTTTATTTCTGCTGATTTTATGAAATTGTTTAGCTGAATAGATTGCGTGTGAATTTGGGCCTTTCGGGCTCTGAAAAAGGAGAGACCGCCGAAATGTCGGCCATTACTGGACAAATCGTGTTCTTGACAACCCCGTCTCTGCTCAAAAGAAGAACACTAACTTGATCAACGTTGAAATTACTAGAAAGTAAGGGCTCGGAATTGCTACAATCAACTAGTTTCATCGCCAAAGCATCGCGAAATATTGTATTAACGAAATAATAACATGGCTAAGTCGTTCGGTAGGATGCGAAAATGAAAGACGGTCTATAACGGTTTAGGAAATTTGATCAATCCATGAAAGCAGTAAGACGATTTGCTAAAGATTGATCTCCGAACAAGTGTCCACTGTAGAAAACGAAGTGCAAAAATTAGGAGAAGTTTGCAGAGAAAGAGAACATCGTGCTCATTCCTCGGTCATTTCAAAAATACATGATTAGTTGAAGAAGTAGATTTTTGCTGTTATTCTAAGAAATTGACTATTATAGCAGCTGTGCATCCTTGGTAGCACCTTCTAATGTTTACAGCTTGCTGAGCACACCTTCAAAGGGTTACATGCCGTCGAAACAATTTCGATTTCAGACTCAAAGGAAGGAGCAAGGATCCTTTGTGTTACATTTTGGCACCGTTGGTGACCAACGCTTTTAAGCTAGCTTATAATGCTTTCATAAAGCACTACAGAAGAGTTTACGATGGATTCGTCCCGTATCATGACAACAGTCCGCAAAGTCCCAGAATCTCATAATCATAATGCATATAGCGCATATGCTACATTCTCCTTAAAACAGTTCCCAGGGTCGGCTTTCTATTGACCTCAGCATTGGAACATGAATGCGTCGTTTTCTTGTTCAGCAATCGCGAGGTTTTTATACAACACCCATTTACTTCCATAGAAAAATGCAATACAATACAACACAACAGTAGCTTGCTGCAACTGACGGCTCGGTAGAACCGTCTTCGAGTCTGAAGGGTTATACTGGTATACAATTTACTAGGTCAAACGCTTTAATAACACATACAGAAAGATGAAAATCTAAATCACAATCACACGACCAACAACTTCTCGACAAACCCATTTTTCAAGTGCTTTCCACTGAAGAAGAACAACCGATTCATATGGTCGATGAATGCACCACCAAAAACAGAGCGGAGACGATTCTGATATAAAACTCACTAACCTCGCACAGGATGCCAAAACACCATCACGCAAACTTTGGGGCTTTTTGGTTAAATACCAAGAACCCTAGAATGAATAGCAGGGATGAATGTCCAGAGGTCGTACACCGCCTCACCCCGTATGTTCGCATCAATTTCTGATGTGGAATGGTGCAATTATCAGCCATATGCGACTATAATCAGCTGTTCTAATCTTCGTCATTGGAAGTCACGTAAAAAGTGGTGAGTTCTTCGAGAAGCTGATGACTATGTAATTGCCATAGAGTTTTTCGTCTTTTTCTAACAGTTAGTGAAGCGTTTGGCCTAGTAGATTGTATATCAGTATACCCTTCCAGGCTCTGAAGAAGGTGGTGCTGCCGAAACGTCAGCTGCTGTTGTATTGTATTGTGTTTTTCTATGGAAGTAAATGTATGCTGTTTAAAAACCTCGCGATTGCCGAGCAAGAAAATGACGCATTTCTTCTTAGAATTATTTGAATGCACTGTGCATTGAGCCAAATTTGTTAGTGGTCTTTTGACCTAAAACTAAGCACTTACGCGTATCCGACTTCGACGGCATTCATGTAGATTGGCCTTAGCAGGGTATGATTTCTTCGCTCACTGATCAGTCCTGTGGATTCATCACCACGAGCCGACAGTGCTTCTCCTTCGTCCCATTCGTAGCTGAGCATCGCTAAATAATGAACCTCACCGTGTCAACTAGATGCCAATAACAGATCTTTTAAATAGCAACGTTTACTAAAACTATTGATAATACCGGTTGATTGGCATGTCTAAATTGAAGTATCCTCGCATAAACAAATCGTTAACATCCGATGGAAACTCTTGATCTTAATCACTAGTGATAACTAAACATCAATCACCGCATTTGCATGTCATTATTATGTATCTGGAAAGGAGTATGTAGTCATTACAGCCATCGTCGAACCGATGCTCCACTCCAGAAAATTCAGGAAGAACAGTTGGGGACAACCTACGCAGATTAATCACGACCCGATGAAAACAAGGTAACCGAAACGTCAACCGAATGAATCTTTCACGCCAATCTCCGACTAGAACAACAATCTAAGCAAATATTTATTGCAAGCATGATTATCGATTGACTGGGTGTGGTCCACACAAATCAGAGCGACAACAAAAGTCATTAACCAGTATGAGATACAACCATAAGGATGCCGAGAAATGATCAAAATCCGGAGCCACGGCTGGGATTCTAACCCGCGATCATTCTTACTGGCAAAGAAGGTTAGTGTGGCGGATAGGATTTTAGCCCCAGTGCCCCAGTAAGAGTAACTGCGTGTTCGAAGCCCAACTGAAGGTCTGAGATATGCGCATGTCTCAACATACTCATGATTCTACTACAAGCCGTAATCTGTCATGAAAAAAATAAGCAGTAAATAAGAGCTAAAATAATAAAACCTAACTAGCCGACGTCTCCTTATCTGGTCTATGCTTTAATATGCTTTAAAAGATTCCTTCAAAGGCTTCGCAGAGAACAACTATCACCTCTACCAAAAACGTAATCCCAGCATTTGCTGAGCAACTCGAACCGGTATGGGCTCTTAATTGCAAGCACCAAAACTGATTAGCGAGTTCAACTCGTTCGACTAACGCAAACAGCACCATATTTACTTTTTGAGAAGCTCTAAGTTTATTATCCTTCGTTAAATGATCCCTTTTCAGCTCATACATTGTCCTTGAGCGGTCGGCTATTTTTTCGTTCCTACTTTCGTTTTGATCTCGGTTTTAACATCGTTTGCGAATCAACTAGTAGAAAAACCGAGCGAAGGATTCGTCGCCGAAAACACAGCTCCCTCAGAACCGCATTGTGTTGAAGCCTGGATACGCTCTCGCAAGGTTAATTCAGGACTCCAGGGAGGACCAAGTTGCACAATCAGCAATAGACCAGCCTCAGTACCACGCACACTAGGTGCTCCCGTCTATGACGCCAGGCGATGAGATGACCAGTGAAAGGCCGCAAAATTTCAGTATACGCAAGTCGTCAGTGGAATCGATTCTGATGAACACAGGCAGGACACGCCATGGAAATTGTTTCTGACTATACACGTATAATGCCAGAGCAATCTCCACAGACGCCGATCTTCACGCCCTTCTTGTAGCCGCAGATCGCATTAAATTTCATGTGATCGCACTACAAGAAACAAAAATCAAGACGACCGACATACGCCAACTAAACAACGGGACCCTCGTGATCCATGGAGAAAAGGTCCCTTCACGAAATGTCGCGGCGCAGGCTTTGTCATCCACGCGTCCATTGTTCATTTCGTCGAATCATACGAGATCCTTCCCCTCGCATAGCCGTCCTCCGTCTTCAACTGTCGCATCATAAGAAGATCACTATCATCAACTGCTACTCACCGACCGATGCAGTTGATGAGTACGAATTAAATGCGTTCTACTATCAGTTGGCGGAAGTCATCCGCAATGATAAAACATGTCATAAATTTGTTGTTGGAGACTTCAACGCCAGAATAAGAAAGGCCAACGAGAGCGAATACAAGATCGGAAATTTTAGATTAGGAGAAAGAAATGAAATTGGAAACCGTCTCGCACTCCTGTCAGCGGCACGTCTCTTCCATGGAAACTCGTTTTTGCAGAAGAAGGAAAGCCGCCGGTGGACATGGGAGTCTCCCAACGGCATGACTTATGCGGAGGTCGAGCATATTCTGACAAACAGAAGATGGCGCCTAGTTTATACATCGGTAGTCCCGTCATTCCGCACTGGTTCCGATCACCGCCTTCTACGCTCCAAGATTCGGTTCACTCGCACGCTAGAAAAGAACTCTTTTCATCGACCACTAGTAAAAAGTCTACCTTTACGACATATACTTTATACGATAAGAACATTCTGAACGAAGTCTTGCCCAAACGTGACTGGCTGATTAAAGAAGATCCGACCGAAGACTACGAGCTGCTTGTTGAAGGACTGAAAAGCTGTGCAGAATTAGCCTCATTTCCTCATGCGAAAAGATCGGATCGCATCGCCATCACTACTAAGGAGTTGCTCGAAAAGCGAAGGAAACTGAAGCTTGATCCTACTGCAACAGGTTTAATATGGCTAGTAATACATGCCAACTGCAGAAGAGCCTTGCAGGAAGATCAAAATCGGTACAGGCAGAGGAAATTGCTAGAAGCAGTAGAGAAAAGATCATTCTGAAAAGATGTAGGGCTGTACAAGCTCTTCATGAAGATTATCTTGTCGCGCATATCAAGGACACTGGATGAGGTGCAACCAGTCGACCAAGCAGGATTTCGAAAAGGATTTTGCTGCATGGACCACATTCAAACCGCGTCCAGAGTCATCGAAGTTTATCGGGAATACAACTTACCTCCAGTCCTAACCTTTGTCGACTATAAAAGCGTTTGACAGTGTCGAAACAAATGCAATCATACCAGCCCTCGTCGACCAAGGAGTGGACCCGTCCTGTATAAGAACTCTATCTGACTGTTATCGGACCTGTACCACGAAAATACAGCTTTCCCACCGACCTCTTACCATGCCCATAGGAAAAGGGCTCGACAGGGCGGCACAGTATCGCCAAAGCTGTTTAGTGCCACATTGAAGTGGATAATGAAGTCACTCGATTGGGATAAGAAAGGCATACGCATTGATGGAATATTCCTATCAAACCTTCGTTTCGTCGATGACATCGTCATTTTTTCAAGAAGTACTAGCGAAGCAAAGACGATGATCACCGAGCTCAACAAAGCGGGAAAAAGGATCGAACTACTCATTAATCGGAAGAAGACCCACTGCATGACAATACATGGTGCGAAGGCGAAAAAATTGAATTGGATGGCTCTCTCATTGCAGAGACCACCTCGTACGTTTGTCTTGGGCGATCAATGAACATGGAAAACGACATGAACGAGGAACTAGGTAGAAGAAGGAGAGCAGCTTGGGCCGCATTCGGGCCTCTCAAAGAAGCCACAGACCACCGAAAGAACTAAAGGACCCGAAAATTCGCGCCCATCTCTTCGATTCAACGGTTCACCCAGCGTTCTATTATGTTACAGAGACGTGGGTTGATACTTCAACTACGTCAAGAATGCTTCGAACCACTCACAGAGTGCCTGAGCGATGTCTTCTGAAATATAACCGGCATTCTCAATTTGTAGCCGGAATGCGAAGCTCTGATCTTCGAAATTTGTCACATCTTCGAGATCCAGCAAAATATACATCTATGGCGAAAATGGACGAAAAGAACTGTAGATTGGACTCCTCGAGCATGCAAACGTCTCCTAGGACGGCCACCTATACATTGGGCGAATGTGTTGGTAAAAAATTTTAATCAGGTGTACCCCATAAAAATATTTATCAGCTGTACCCGCAGCTGCAGTTATTTTAGACAACACGTTACGAGACTCGTACGCATTGCCATGCTCGAACAATACTACCACCATGGACGACCATTGCGAAGGTACTAGGATCCGCATAATTCGTGAGGGCGGACCAGCCACGTATCCAAGTAGGTAGACAAGTTGAAAGACAGTAGCTGCTAGTTCGCCAGGTCAATGTAGTTGAAAAATTCGTTGCTGGTTGGCGAGATTTCTGCTGAGAATGACGGAAGAGGCAGAGCTATTAGATACTTCCGAAGATTATGCAGTGTGTACACTAAGTGCTTGGTGTTATCTTCTGGTGTTCTTCAACACAATAATCCATAGCGTTTTCGAGCAATGACTTAAACTCAATGCGCTGAACAAATTTGCGCAGCAGGGCACGATCGTTTCAGTTTTATAGAATTAATAAAAAAGACTTCTACTGCACAAACCATCTAAACTCTTTGCTTATAAAGTTTAAGTAACATTATATTAGGCCAGTTGAATTTGCTCAAAAGTATACTTAAGCCTTAATTTTGCCTTATATTGCCGAAAAATTCCTATAGACCTTCAGACAGCGATTATCACACTTCATTTTCATTCTGACATTGTTGTTGTACTTTAATTAGACCAGTAAATGAGTGGAATCTGTATACATATATTCTTATGAACTGCCCTTGTTGAGCTGCTGCGAGGCTGCTTTAGGTTATCCTCGTTACAGTGGTTGCTGTTGTTGAATGGTTGACGTTTCGACGATTTCGCCTTCCTCACCGTATTTCGTATTACTATAGTGTTATAATTAGTGGAAAATCTATGGTAATAGTGGAGATCTGCCACCTAAATAAAAGCTATTATACTTGAAAACTACTGATCGTTCCGTTGCGTTTGGGAACGATACGGTTTAAATTGGTGCATCATGCGATTAAAACTCGTTCTGGAGCGCATTTCCGTGGCATTGCGTGTTCTTCTGTTTCCTTTACGACGACCCTCTCATATAGATCGTATTAAGAGAGGCATCTGCTCCAATGCGCCTTTATCAGTAAACGAATATCGTAAGAAACCTCTATCTACCGTAGGACTACAATTTCAGATGACTCGCTGGACAGCAACAACACTGAAAGGTAAGTGCTTTGTTATGGGTAAAAGACCTGATTTGAATCTTTTCCTGACTAGAGAATCTCGAATACATGTTGGCTGTTGTTATCTGTATCACATTTGCATACCAGCATTCACCAGAACAAAGGATCCATGGTAACAAATTAGTTGTATGGTGGCAAATCTCTCTCTCATCCGCAATGGAAGCGATCACCTATAGTAGTCACGACCTGGA